CTTTCCACTTTATCTGTAGGTTCTATATCTATTTCAATCTATGAGAATAACGATATCTGTGACTGTTCTTTAAGTTACATGTACTTTTGCTTATCGCACGTATCAACGAGATATTTTTAAAACATTATGCTAAACGATAATAAATGTGAAAAAATATATCTGTATTATGAAATAAACTGAAATTTATAACGATATATTTTTAACGGTACGTTAAGTGTCAAATGCGATAACGCGATTTTACTGGAGCAGATAACTTTACTCTTACAATTCTTTCGTTTTTTTTTTTTTTTTTTTTTTTTTTTTTTAAATTTTTTTTTTTTTATTAAAAGAAATTTTTTTTTTTTTTTTTTGAACGTTAAAAATACATAAGATTATTTTGCAATTACTTGCCTCCTTTCCGGTGAGAGTCTGAAACAAGGTTAGAATACATTTTCAGGACTGGTTATAAATGCTGGTAGTTGGTCCATGTTCCCTTGTTCAATGTTCTTACCTTCACTTTGATCAACATTGTTTATGCGTTAAAAGGTAACTGAAACAATCACCGTATTATTATTATTATAAATTATTGACACAAAGATGCACTTATGCGGTTCTTTGAACTTTGAATAAAAAATTCTGTTGTCCAACTATATTCAGCAAAAGTCTCTATATCTCCATCTAACGGCAAACTGTGAACTCACGATATCGGTAGTTTTCGAATAATAATTATAATTTTGTCTGCATCGTCGATTACTTTTACGGCTTCTCGTGAAATAAAACGATTTATATATAACTTTTATGCAATTGTAAACTATGCCTATTTACGTACTACGTCTTAACTGAGTATAAATATATTCGCAATTAAATAACCAAAACATTCACATCAATCTATGTAAATATAATTTATTTATAATTTTAGCATAAGCTTATCGATGAATGTTACTCATGATAATATAATACAACAATACATAATACATATTAAAATGTTACAATAGTCTTTGTATATAATCTTAGCAAAAATGATTCTTTTTACAAAATAAAAGTTGACAAGTAAACATCTTTAAATGTTACATTTTTAATTTTTCCTCTTGAGCAATAAGTTGATTTTTTATCTTCTGTAAGAGTTCTTTTTTAACAGAGTCTGGAACCAGTGTCCTTGCTTTAGTTGTGACCATCGAAAGCAGTTTATCATAAGTAACATCATGACCATGTTCTTTTATCAATTCCTTGCAGATTAATTTTACTTGATCTCTCCATCCACATTCGACTAATCGACGACGTAATAATTCTTTCAGTCTAAAACAGAATTGATAACATGGTAAGATAATTTGCATTTTTGTGAAATAACATACATACATATAATTCTCAGTTCAATTAAAACGTTCGGCACGAGAAATAAGAAAACTTGTACATCAGAACAATTCATTCGTAATGTATCGTAATTAACGATTGAAGATATGTATAATACGTAATTATAATATAAAATTAATAAAAACTAAGAAGAAATATAACATACGCATATGAGGAATACATACCCGTCACGATCTCCGACCATAACTAGTCTTTGATGTGGAGCAGTCTTCATTAGGAATTCTATTATTATCTACTTTTATATTAATAAAATTAAGCGTCTTCCTTGCAATTCCGTTTTTTAATGGTAATCACACTGACCACCTCTTGTTGACATGTAAGATAGGTTATGTTGTGTTTTGTCTTCGCGGCTTTATAACCTAACATCGTTTCACTTTCGTCTATACCCTAAAGTAACCAAACATGATTATAGATTACGAAAGTGTCGTTTGAATTGAGTTTTCATTAAGATACAACGAATAATTCTTATTCGTAAATATTAAACTTTTTTTTACTAATGAAATATTTCTCACTCATCATACATAGGTATGTAAAGTTTCGAAAGAAAATAAATTATTAAAAGTTATTTTGCAAAGGTGATACCACGATTCGTATAATGCTTCTAATTATTTTAGAATTATTTTATTATTTTGTTACATTTATTTTACAGTGTACAATTTATCTGAAACATCAGCTGCACGATATTTCATATTGTTTGTGTATTTTTATAAATATTTTCATTCTTTATTTGGGCATCAGTTCTACCGACAAGAAACGTCGCGTAGAAAATTTGATTATTTATGGGTAGAGTTTTCGGGTATTTCGCAATAGTTGGTAACCCTTTTGATTCCTTTTTTTCTTGTCATATCATGTTCATCAATATTCTAGGGAATGGCATCAACAAGAGTGATCAATTGCATTTCATCTAAAAGACTTGCAGCAGTATCTAATCTAAAACATGTATGTGTTTTTTCTAACTTTAATATAAAATCTAATTTTCATTCAAATGCATCGTATCGTACAAAGAAATCAATTGCTAAAGCAGATACTACCGAATATGAAAATAAAGTACAAGTTGGATTTGCGGATGTAGGTAAATTTCATATACGTACATGGAGATATATGTTATAAAAATCAGTGCTCCTCTGAATATTACTTTTATTTCAGTTAAGGAAAATACAAAATCTGCTGGGTACTTAGGTGTAATAATTGGTGGTGTAGGAATCACAGCTTTCATGTTTTATATGATTTTTGATGAATTATTTTCTAGTAAAAGTCCAAATAACGTATACACCAAAGCCTTAAACGCTCTTATCAAACATCCTAAAGTAATAGATGCTCTTGGAGAACCTATAAAAGCTTACGGAGAAGAAAGTCGGCGAGGACGCCGAAGTCGTATAAGGTAAAATTAAACCAGTACTTGTAATTTCTTCATTATTACTCACGATGCATTATTTTACAGTCATGTAATCTTCGAGAAGGACGGAGTACGTCACATGAGAATGAAATTTTACATTCAAGGTATAAAGAGACGTGGCACTGTGAATTTGGAAGTTGAAGAAGTAAGAAGCGTTATTTTGAATCTTTCTCCGCATTTAGTATTAAAATTGACTATAAATTTCATTACAGAACGAGTCTGGTAAATATGTGTACAGATATTTATACGTGCTTGTGGATGATATAATGCAAACAGTAATTCAAATAGAAGACAATAGAGAAGAGAAGAAGGATTACAGTAAGGAGACAGAATTTGACTTGAGCTAATATTTTAGATCTTTCTAAGTAGTATACGATATGTCCTGTATTGAAATACTCATTGTTGATTAATTGCAACAATATTATTTTAGATACACTTTTGTAAAATTTGTGTCAAATAAAAATGACGGTGCTTAAGAAAGTGTCACGTTTATTTATCAACTTGTACATCATCAAATAAGCCCGAACAAAATATCTTCGCGTGTGTCACGATTCTTTACCGACAACCATGCGAACAACATTACCCTTTGAAAATAATGATCTTTAAATAGATGTCACATTGGAGGAATTCGCGGAACGAAAGTTCTCACTCGTGTGATTTCATCTTCCGGGTATCGTGCGTGTAGGCATAAGTGTAACGAGCGTGTACGTGTTTAAAATTACGTATGCATTGTTACGCGAAGAGTAGAGGAGGACACAAATAACACGATAGCTAGGTAAAAAGGTAGACGGATCGTTAGCATTCGCGACCGCCTAAAAATTGACCGAAGGCTGCGGGGAAATCTTGTCGTTTGCATCATTCACGATACCAGCTGATTCTCTGACAGTCGCTCATCTACTTGCGAGCAGATCGACACAACGCGTCGTCTATGTCAGTCCGGTTTCGTGGTTAAAACGTGGTGTGAAATCACTCGTTACACATTTCCAATTTTATCTTACTAAATTTATCGAAAGTATCGATACCATATTTACCAGCGGCAAAATTTATCTGATAAATGAAAAGTTTCTTATAAATTCTCGATATTCTATCGGTTGCCCGCGCTTTCGATCTGTGTACCTCGACGAATCATTACGATTGAAAATTGTCGCAAAACCACATGCTTTTACGCGAGCAAATTAATAGTTCAAGCACACCAAGTGTCCTCGATTAAATAATCAGTCCCGCGAGATTCAAGTTTTCCTCTGGCTAGTCGAATCAAATGTTTTGCTGGAGGCAATCGAAGAGAACTGTTCGGAAAAAGGGGAAAGGTAAGGCGTTGGAAAATCGAATCGTGTCGAAGTGAGATGAAATTGAACATCGCAGAAGATGCGCCGATGACAGAAACTACCTATTTAAACACGACGAACCGACACTGAAGAGACGTTCGAACAGCAATTATTATTACATCTGTCAGTGCTCTAACAGGATTACGAAAGAGAAGTAAAAATGGGCAAGTGCTGTTCGTGTTTCTCAAGATTCCGAACAGTGTTTAGACCTGAAACTGTTACGGACAGTCCTCTGAAGCCGTTATGCACCAAACCAGAGTGCCTTCCGCGGCCACCTGCTGCACGTACTTCCGGTAAGTTTGGAGAAACAGCGTTTACAAGTTGAACAGATTCCGATCTACGTATTAATCGCGTAATCACAGTTAGATTCTTCCACTCGTAAATTACTTCCCTCTCGATTTCTCACCCCGTTCCGCCGCCTTTGACCCGTAGTTGAAAGGGGTTAATTGACTATACGTTGGCGCGTGTCATAAAGAAACGATAGAAGGTGATAGAGAAGCTCTCTCGGATTCCATAAATAAATTCGTTCGAAAAGCAGATCGGTAGCAATGGCCCAGGTTCAATCTCATCGACACCAATACGGTAACGCGATCTATGCTCTATCGTGTTACTATTATTATAAATGCTTCATAGAGTTGTAACGTCGGAAGCGGGTAACGCGAACGCAAGGTAATCCGCGAAGGTTTTCCAAAGCTTCCAGTGTTTGGCACGAGCCGATGTTTTTCCCCTTGTACAAGCGGAAGTTGGAAGGCCTATTTTAAGAGAACATGTGCCGCCGGCAAGTATACCAAGTGCCCTTCGATCTTCAATACACGCGAAACGTGCTTTCGATCATCGCTCTTTAAAATCATCTTCGTAGTCACGTATGTACGTAGGTCTCGAGTGTGAACCAAGAATTCGCGTTTATCAATGGCGATGATGTCACTACAGTTTTATGCAAATGTTTATTCAATTTCTCTCATTCCAACGTGCTCCTTTTTTCGGTTCCTTTACGACACCGTGGCGCTATCTTATCATTAGCTGATATTTTGTCAGCTTAGTCGAAGATCGAAGCGGGAACCTTGGAGGAAATATTGTTTAGAGGTTTGGCGAACAGAAGTGTTCTGTTGGAAATTAGCAAGCAAACAGAAGTCGCGCGAACAACACGAGTTCCGTTCGTTGCTCGAAGATTCGCTGGATAGTGCTTCACCAAAGAAAATAAACCCGGGCTCCCGGCCAGATGGAAAATCTCAATTTTCCTCTTTTTCGTGTTGTCCTAAATCAAATCGTTCCCCGTGCAGCTTTTTCTTCTTATTTCTTCTTATCTCTTCAAACTGAAATCTGTCGTTTACTCGTTCGTTCATAAGCGACTATTTCTCTCGGTATCGCGTCTTCGTGGAATCGGCAAATCCGTGAAAAGATAAAAATGAACGCGACGCATATGTGACCTCGAGGCGTGGTGACCATTGCCATGAATGAAAGTAAACTTGCGCAACTGACACCCTGACCGCTGAAACATGACGTCACCCTAAATTACGCAAAACCCGTGTTATTATCCAAGCTTTTTGCGAATTCTATGATTCATCTTGGCGAATTCGAGCTTTCGACGAGATTACGTTTGCACTTTCAATCCCGCCCCTTTCCCTGCGATTCGTTTACGCGAGTTATCGCCTCGATGACTGCACGATTGAAATTAGTCGGGAACTGAACGGAAACCGCGGCGTTACGAATTAAGACGACCGTACGATAATGTCGCGCAATAAGTAAAACTTGATTTATGGCCGAAGGGCGCAATTTATTATACGATAAGGATCATCCAAGTTCCGTGTTTCTCTAAAGCGTTCGTCTTTCAGTCGTTTCGCGCTTGAAACACCAACGATACGCACGCAGCGACAAGAATGCTAATTTTATGCGACTATTGCTGGTCGCGTGACGTGGAAAAAAAAAACAAAGGTGCAACAGAAAGATATACTCGCTATTTATCGTCGTAGCTGTAGTATAGTCACTTTGTAAAAGTTGCCACACGAGCCTTTGGTTAATTATTTACAACACCCGTTCCTCCCATAATTGCTACCTTCCTTCCTCCTATTCTGCCTTCCTACACTGCTGCGTCGAAAGCGAACTATGCCCACGTGTCCTACCGTGAATCAACAAAATCAACTTCGATCCAGATCGTCCAAGTTCACGGTGTCTCGTGGACGCGGCAGAAAACTGCACGCCTCGATCTCTCAGGTCTCGTTAAAAGTATAACAAGACGCGTCATCGGCTTGGTCGCGGATAACCTGCATTCTAGAACACTCGTGTGTACCTGTATATATAGCCGACTGGCTCGTGCCGTTATTTTTAATCGAAAACAATACCATTGGGTATGCAGATGCCATAACTTCTCGCGGCTTACCGACTCACCAAAATAGCATCGGTTTCGTACGAAACCGGTTGAAGTAATCGAATGACGCCCGTACTATATGGAGGTACTTTGTGTAACTCGATCGTTTGACGCGATATTTATTACGTGATCGGTTGCCCGGCTGCCGCGTTATTATGCGATTAATCAATATTTACTGCTAATTGATCCAGCCGGATTTGACGTACGACACCGTTAATGGATTATTAGGTGTATCGAAGGGTGGATACGACTACGAGAAATCTTCAATTATCAAACTTTCCGACCGTACAGAGTAGCGAAGATTAAATAGTAGGACTAATAAATTTGTTGCTTCGTCCGTGTTGCTTTTCCAACCGATCAGAGTACCTCCGTGCACGATAATCTGTGACGGCAACGCGCGGAACAGAGGTATCGTGGAAAATTTGGCAAACCTGATCAATTAGCTCTCTAGACGTGTTTCTCGAAATACACAGATACGTCTCGCGTCGGTTCGCTGTGAAACGTGTTCGCTAAGCTCGGGGATTCATGGTCGTCTAAAGGCAAACGCATCGTTCAGCGGCGAACGAGAACGGGTGACGGTCAATGCGAGCGAGTTCTCGTTTCTCCTTCTGGTCGACGGGACAACGCGAAGCAAAAACTGTCGGATCGACGAGAAATCGATCGCGACGTAGTAGGAATTTTCTTTGTCAATGGTGAAGTACTAATTGGGTCGTGGTTGGAGCGAATCAAACTGAACGGCGAGTTCAGAATCGATTAAGATTAACCGTACCGAGCAACGTTCAACAACATTGTACGATATATGGAAATTGAACAATTACTAATTCCAAAGGTGGTAAACGTGTCAGCGGTTCGCCGTAACGACTTACTCAACGACGATCTAATAGGTTTTCGTCGTTTTTCGAATCGCCGTAAGGTGATCAAAGTGGATCTTTTAAAGGCAAAGGCGTCGTTAACGATCGTAGAGAGGCATTTCCATGGAAACATTTTCAGCGGATTATCCAATCGACGATTTGCTCTGCAATTACGAATAAATAACGAGAAATAACCGAGAGAATGAAAAGTAGGTGACTCCTACCGGTGTGGTAGCTAGAGTCATCGATGACGCCATGTATGGCTGCGTTCGCCGATGCAGAGAAGTCCTTGAGGGATCTCCTAGAATACAGCAACCCACCGGACGCGACGCGAGGCGACGCGAGGCGACGCGAGACGTCGCGAGTCAGCGCGAGGCGCCATGCCCAGCCTTGTCCAGCCTTGCCCCTGCTTTTTCCTCTTCAACTGGGCAACGTGACGAAGAGCAATCTCTCAGTCAGTGATTTCACGGAACTGCTAGCGACTGTTGCCGATGGATTCAGTCTTTCGTTCGTTTTCAAGGAACGAGTTTGCATTCCCCAATCCTCGAAGAATGTTTTATAGATTCTACGATCGTTACCGGCCCTTCAACGATCGCCGCCCTAGACCGTTTCCCTTCCGGTTCTACTGTGAGTGTCGTTCTCGTTCACGCGCGTCCTCGGTGTTCGTTTTCGTAAAAATCGAGAAACGAGAGGAGAAAGCGAAACGTTAGATTTACGTTAGGGCATGTCGATTGTACCTGGCACTTTGCCATTTGTACGTAATGTCCGTGAGCTAACGGAGCTAACGAATAATGTTGTATGCGCAGGGGAGGATTTTGGTGTGCCAGTTCTGACGATTCTAGACGTGGACCCGTGTATCGCGGAAAATGGAGAGAACCATAGAACATCGAGATACGACCTGACGACTCGACAGGACGATAAATCGAGGCTGGTCGTTAGACGGGGGCAGGAATTCTACTTGCACTTGACTTTGTCGAGAGATTACGAGCCAAGCATCGACGGTATGTCGATAGTTTTCACGCTCGATGGAGTCGAGAGGCCGCAATACGGTCACGGTACCCTCGTTGCGACGCCTGTTCTTTACCCGGGCGAACCGCCCGAAGGTTCCTGGCAAGCCACCATCGACGCCATTCAGCCCAATTTCATGCGATTGAAGGCAAGCGGTATACATGGCGCGGTATATCTTTCCAATCAATTTACAATCCGGTAAATCGAACAAATCCTTCCTTCTTAGATCGTTCCAGCCCCTAACGCGATGATAGGCAAATGGAATATGGACGTCGATACCAAGAACAAGAATTTGGACGGAGCCGTTAGCTACACGATGAAACATCCGTTTTATCTGATCTTCAATCCCTGGTGCGAAGGTATCGAAATGGAAGTTTGATTGCAAGAAGCAACAAAAAAGAAACGGCGGTCGATGAATTTTTCAGGGGACACGGTGTACATGGAGGACGAAGATCAGCGGCAGGAGTACGTGATGGCGGAGGACGGTTTGATATGGCGTGGAAGTTACAATCGGCTGCGACCAACGGTTTGGAAGTATTCGCAATTCGAGCGAGATATATTAGACTGCGCTCTCCATCTGATGATTCAAGTTGGAAAGGTTCGAATCAACGGTAGAAACGATCCCGTTGTCATATCTCGAATTTTGTCCGCGGCTGTGAGTATTCATTTATCGAACACTGTTCTTCTTCGGCCGAACGTTAAAGAGGGAGGTTGTTCCTTTTGGTACAGGTAAACTCGCCGGACGACAACGGAGCTGTGATGGGTAATTGGTCGGACGATTTCGGCGGTGGTACGCCGCCAACAAAATGGCTGGGCTCGCAGAAGATCCTTCAGCAATACTACAAGACGAAGAAACCGGTCAAGTATGGCCAATGCTGGGTGTTTTCCGGCGTATTGGCCACCGTTTGCCGCACTTTGGGGCTTCCTTGCCGCGTCGTGACCAATTATTCCAGCGCTCACGACACTCAGAGCAGCTTAACCGTCGATTATTTCGTCGACGCGGAAGGGAAAGTGATGGAGGAGCTTAACAGCGACTCGATATGGTAAGTAGAACGATTCTTCTTCTTCTTCTTCCCCTCGAATCTTTTTCAATCGTTGGCAGGAATTTCCACGTGTGGGACGAGGTTTGGATGAAGAGAATGGACTTGTCGCCGGATGATTCCGGCTGGCAAGCTATCGACGCCACTCCTCAAGAATTGAGCGAAGACGCGTATCGTTGCGGTCCAGCGTCTGTGGCTGCTGTGAAAAGAGGCGAGGTCCTGCGACCTTACGACAACGGTTTCCTCTTCGCCGAGGTGAACGCGGACAAGGTGTTCTGGCGGTACAACGGACCGACTCAACCTTTGAAATTGATTCGAAAGGACGTGTACGGGTGCGTGTTCGAGGCTTGTCTCGTTACTTGTCGCCTACCAGTTTCAACCAGAAAATTCACTTTCGTTTTTCACGCTGCCTGTTTAGCATAGGGCAATTCATCAGCACTAAGGCGGTCGGCAGATGGGCGAGAGAAGACATCACTCATATGTACAAGTATCCAGAAAGTAAGCAATCTCGATGGTTAAACGTAAGCACATGGTACGTATCTAATGGTTAACGATATTACGGAATTCTTGTTTCGTAGAATCGGACGAAGAACGAGCTGCCATGTTAAAAGCACTGCGTCAAAGTCAGTCGTCGTTCAGCCGTTACTACCTCAACGAAGAGTTTAACGATATCATGTTCAATTTCGAGCTCCGCGACGATATCGTAATCGGGCAACCCTTCAGGTTTCTACTTTTCTCTATTCTGCTCGAGCTCACGTACGTTCCAATGCTAATCGATATTTGCAACGTTCTTTTCTCCCGTAGCGTGGTGTTGTTGATTAAAAATAGAAGCAGCTTCAACGAGTACCGAGTCTCGGTGATTTTAAGGGTGGAAACAGTTTTGTACACCGGTCGGGTTGGCGACCCGGTGAAAAGATTGAACGTCGATCGTCTGGTGAGACCGGGCGTGTTGGAGGAAGCACGTATGGACGTTTCCTGGGAGGAATACGGACCACGATTGTTGAATCAATGCGCGTTCAACATCGCCTGCCTGGCCACCGTCAAAGACACCAATTACGAATACTTCGCGCAGGACGATTTTCGCGTGAGAAAACCCGACGTTAAAATCACGGTAGGCATACTCCACGATTATTACTCCATACTCGTCGGCAGAGAGAGAGAGAGAGAGAGATGAAACGTTGTCACTTTTGTCACAGCTGGTGAACGCACCGGTAGTCGGCGAGACGCTGAACGCAACCGGCAAATTTAAGAATCCACTACCCATTCCGCTGAGAAAGTGCAGATTCCTGATCGAGGGTCCTGGACTGAAGGAGCAATTGAAGCTGAAGCTGTCGGAAGATGTAGAAGTTGACGCGGACGCCGAGTGTTCTTTCTCCATGGTACCGAAATTCGAAGGCCGCGCCACGATCGTCGCGAAGTTCTACTCGAAGGAGCTCGAGGACGTGGACGGTTTCGTTAATTTCATGGTGAAACCAGCGAAGGTTGTCACAAACGGCGAATAACGAAAGTTGCACAGATACGTGCGCGTGGGTCTTCCAGAAAGCTTAAGTTTTTCATACTTACGAGAGTTGTGTCTTTTTTTATACATATAATAAAAATGTTGGAACAGAGGTTGTTTCGTTCAGGTAGCACGCACGACCCTTTTTCCTCTCGCGGTATCGATATCGAGAACGTTTAGAGCAAACGTCAGAAAGGAGCAGACGCGGCAGGACGAATGGGATACCGGTTCGGATAAAAAATTCAATCGACAGAGAACTACCTGAGCAGCGTGGCTAGCCGGGACTACCGACTACACACACGGCAGGTAATATTAACGAGCAGAAATGGAGAAAGAGAGAGGCGGCCCGTGTGTCGAGTGTGCGTGATTATTCGGAATAAGAGAAGGACGGTTCGACGCAGCGGACGAGGAAGAGGTAGAAACGACCAGGACGATGATGAGTGTTCACGGGCGCACGCACGACACTGACGCGAGTCATGCATCACCATCTGGGAAATTAACGTTGAAATATCGCGGACGATGAACGAACGCGATAGCGGGAGCCAGCTCGACCTAGCTTCGACCGTGTCTCCGGAAAAGAAACTGTCGGAGAAGACTTGGTTGTTGCGACGACGATCGCGATCGACGAATTTCGTTCGATCGATTAAGTTCGAAGAGGGAGAATCGACGAAAGATCTCCCTCGTGTTACGAGCGCGCTCGATTTATTATGGTTGGACGGAGTAGGCGGTGTGGTGGGTAGTACATATACGTATAGTATACACGGGTTCTCGCAGCCAGAGGAGGAATGCACGTTTGGTGGCTCGGAATCGCTTAGAGACAAGGTAATATTTTTCTAGCGGATTCCCGTCTCGATTAACGGAATAAAGAGGAAGAAAAAGGAGGGGACGCGGTAATAAGCTGGTAGCAAGTGAAGACGAATACGAAGATCGCAGAAGGGAGAAGAGAAATGGTAAACGAAAAGTTGGAGTGGACGATACGCGGGGGGAGAGGAAGAAAGAGGGAGAGAGGAAGAGCGATATGGAAGATAGTAGTGAGATATGTCTAAATACATAACCGTGACACGTGATGGACGTGTTGCGGCCCCTGTCTACAGGGGTCTCGAAGAAGCCTACGGGGCCCGTACCGATCTCCATTTCGATCCACGGGATTCTGGACTCGGCACCCTGCTACGCGCTATGCATCAACACCCAAGATCCATCCCATTATACCTCATCAAAATAACAAACACGCCTTCCATGCTAAACCAACATTCTTTTGTTCCCATCGAATCCCCGGATCCATCAGAATCACCGCGAACAGTACGTCAGTGACGTACCTATATGTTTTCGTGTGGCCAGCGGGCCATAGGGGGTCCTAAAGGTCTACAAGAATCCGAGAAGATATCGTGAAATATTAGTCGATGGCAGGCGGTCGAGGGTGTGACCGAGCTTTTCAAAACTCCTTCGCCAGATTTCCCTTCCCAACCCTTACTCGCCAATTTCGTCACGGATCGATCGCTTCCGGCTTTCTGCTCCTTCGGATGCCATTTCGTGCTGTGTGTGTATCTTGCTGCGCTCGTCGTTCTTGTAGGGAAGCTAAACGGGTAAGGGATGAGAAATCGTTCCACCATCCCCCTTCGACGAGTCACTCGGTTTCAAGGCAGGTTTCTAGATGGCAGCACGACACCGTCCTATCGTTCCAACGATGCTGAAGAGTGAAACAATGCTGACGTCGACGAATTACCAGCGATCGTAAACAATCATAAGCGAGATCGTACCGAATGCGAGTGACCGCGATAACGCGTAACACCCGGCTCGTTATATTTGGGGGAATTCTTCGTGGACGGATGAATTCACGGGCGAAATAAAAGAAGAATTACTCGTCCAATTATCCGAGATAAGTTTTGCTCGCCGGGGTACACGATATCTCCGTTTGCTGATTCGACGCGATACTCGATCCTAGCTCGTGTACAACGGAGGACTTAATTTCGCGATTCGAAGCAGCGCCCGGAAGTGGCGTGCATCCAGCCGCGTGCACGTGTACGTAATGTTTCCTGTCATCAGGAAAACTCTCTGCAGTAAAAGTCTCGAAATGGTTACTGCCTTCCCTTTTACGTCCCCCGACCTTTATTTCTCACGATTCGTCCGCGTAATAGAGACCACCTCCCTCTAATTCTTCGAACGTATTTTCTAGGCGAAAGGGGGGAAGTCGAATCGCGCCTGTCTCCCTCAACTTCTGACACGATCCCTCGACAGTTTGCCGTTTACCTTTCTCTGTTTGCACGAGGATTTCCTACTCGGTAGCTCGGCTTTGTCCAAACAAGGGGTGAACGACTGCGTAACGACGAGAAGAAAGGTAATTCATCGAATCCCGCAGCTCTAGAATGGAGCAACAGCCGACTGACCGCGCCGTCTTTTGAAAGAGGAAGCTTGCGTTTTGCTCGTTTCAACGCGACTCTGCCAGGCATCGGTGGTGTTTCCTTCTTGAAAACTGCCGCGCACGCTCCACCCCCTCTTCCGTGGACGGATCCTGGTATCGAATTCGAATCTAATTTGCATGGAAGGATGGCTGTTTACTCACGTACTGGTACCTATAAGCCTGAACAGTTGCGAGCGGCTGACAGTGTATTTGCGCGAGGATTTTGTCGAGTCGAGTCGAGTCGAGTCGAGTCGAGGCGGTAGAAAGGCCACTCCGCCTTCCTCCGTATCGGCGAGGGAGGGTGGCGTATCGAGGAAAGGTAGGAGGGATCCCGAAGACGAAACGTGGCAGGGAGTCTACCTTATTACGCATGCACCCCGTCACCCGAAAGCGACTCGTTTGCTGACTGACTGACTGACTAACTGACAGACGCACCGTGCCTTTTCTGCGTTTGCACGATCGACATTCTCCTTTTATTCTTCGTTAGATGGGAGGAAAATATTAGGCGGTAGGTGGTCGGAAGATAAAAAGGTCGGAGGATTAGTTAGGAAGGATGGGAAGATTGGAGGGAATTCGTTAGCGGTTTCTTAAGTGACTTAGAAAAAGGAGCGGAGAGTGGTTGTCGAGGAAGTCACGCGCTGAAAGGGGATCGAACCGGTTCACAAAATTGACGGAGTTCAAAGGGTATATTTATCGGGACAAAAAGCAGAGGACAAAGGCTCGAGTGGAATTGGGGCCAGGCAAATGGCCTTTAATGCGCCGCGCGACTGATTGTGAGAGAGGAATCGCGTGTCAACGTTTAACGGGGAAGAACGATGCTCGTTTAGCCGAGCGAGCGGTTCGAAAAGAGCAGACCGTGCCCGCGGGAATTCGCGGCCATTGTGTCGGCCATCTTCTGATCAGCGTCTATTACGACGGCGGTTATCCTCGGAGAAACGACTTGGAAACGACGGGTTCTAAGGAACATTTGGCTGACGCGGACATCGATCTCGGGCACAATAGCCGGCGGAACACCGGTAGCCGAACACCGATCGGACCGCAACGGTATATTCGATTCGTCGAATCTGTCCGATCTAATCGGCGTGGAAGCGGCGACGTCTATCGTGTTACTCGTAGACGCGAACCAGTTCGCGTGCCTCTTGTAATCGCTTGTCATCCAAATTGCCTCGATTCCGCAATAACGTTATACGACCGCGCGCGCGCGCGCGCTCTCCAGCTAATTTTCGGCAAATGGACGACATCTACTTGTTAGATACTTGGGAAGTAATTTCCTTTCCTAAAGACTCCGTTGCACGATATTCTTTCTTCTCCTTCGGCCAACCAACAGTCTGCTATCCGTCAATTATCCACGCATTCAGGATGCTCGAGTTTGCAACGCTTTCCTCCTTCGCACGCATGCTACGAAGGTAAAGCGAAACGGAACGGAACGGAACGGAACGGAACGGAACGGAACGGAACGGAACGGAACGGAACGGAACGAAGATGCTCGTTGTCGAAAGATAACGCGTAAATTGGCACACACACCTATCGGACATCGGCGTCGGGGTAGGCATTTTCCTAGCGTGGAAAAAAACGCGATGCATTTTGTCGGGGGTTGGTTGGTTGGTTGGCTGGTCGGTCGGTCGGTCGGTCGGTCGGTTGGTCGGCTGGTTGGTCGGCTGGTTGTCCCTCGGGAGAGATCGTGGCTTTATATAGCCAGTTGACATCGAAATCCAGTGACGTATCTAATTGGGAGCAGTTTAACGGCGAGGGCGGATCAGTAGGATAAGCCATAAGCCGACGAAGCCGCTGCACGAGATCACCCTAGGCTTATAACTACTACCGGGGAATCTTCTTCGGACCTCTCTCTTCCAACTACCCTCTCCTACGTATACCTACCAAGAGTATTCCGGCCCGTGATACGACAGCCCTCATCCCGCAGCGCCGCGCGTTGTTCCGAGTAGCAGACCGGTCCCCCCGCCTGCCCCCAGCTGCTACCCTCGCCTATCTACCAGAGAATCCGGCGTAAATAATGCCGATTATCCCCCCGGCAATTGTTTTATCGACCGAGCTGTCCCGCTCGAAGAGCAATCTCGAAAGAGGGTGCCTCCGTTCCGCGCCTCTCACCTCCGACCTTTCCCCGAATCCCATTCCACTGACCTTACACAGATTTACGAGTCGCTTCGCAGAGGGTGAAGACTCGCAAAGTAAATTTCCCCACCCTTTCTCTCTGTGTCGGGAGGAATTTAGGAAAAATTGGAGCTACTACCGCTTTCGACCGCCTTTCAAACTGCCGTTGCCTCGTGAAACCGATTCGTGGAGCAAAAACAAATTTACGCCGGTTTAATTCTTGGTCGATTTCGCTCGCCTCTCGACGCAAGGAATCAACCTTCCGTCTCGTAATGGAATCGATAAAAAAGTATTGCGTCGTAATTCATCCGGCTCGTTCGGGCCAGCAACCGCGTGCCCTCTTCGGATTGGACGCGCGTTCTTCTATAGATCGCGGATAACGAGCGCATTTATAATTTTCGGAGGGCTCTCTTTAATAGTTTCAGCTCGATCGGGCTTCCTTCGCGCGGCTTAATGGAACTCGCAGCCGTTCGCTTTTTGCCCCCCGCTAATTATGAAATTACCCAGAAACCGCTACCCACTCTTTCTCTTCCTCTCTCTCTCTCCCTTTTCTTCTTCTTCAACCACTTGAAGCAATATTTGTGCGCGAATTATGC